ATACATATCATCCACGAAATTCAGATGTGCTTTCAGGCATCTTAAGTATCTCCCATCTAATTGCCAAGAAAATGAGAGATCCCTCAAATAAATTTCACTTGTGTAAGAGTAGGTCCGAGATCATTGATCTTCGACATACTAAGTGTGAACCTCTCCGAATCGTTTGAGCTCGAATTGCCTGATAGTCGAGGTGGGTTTCAATTTGAGCTCAACCCAGTTGCATAGTAATTACGATGAGAACGTACCCACATGATACTTCATTCCCAAAGTCCTCACCCTCATGGACATGTTAGATCTTGATTATTTCATTAAGCACACCACGTGGATACCTCATTAAAGCTTATAAATACCTCATTAAGGCTTATAAATACCTCCAAACATCATTTCTAAAGGTAATTGAAACTAACCTAGAGCTTCTTTTCCATTCTTCTTTAAAAGTAGACTAAATTACTACTAACTTAAGTATTAGAGTGTCTACTCCAAGAACCAATCTTGGGGCTTTACCGGTATGTTCAAAGAAAAGACTCAGATTGGAAAGATCTAGAAAGTTTATTGCAATTACAACTTGCAAACAACAGCATTGTTTATATCGCATCCTTCACTATTCTTTTCCAAGGATGGAATGAGGGGGCAACATGAAATTCTGGAACACAAAATATTGGAATGACATTTAGGTTTTACCTGTTACTTTTCCAGCCAATTTTTTTACAGAAAGAAACTCTCAATTCCGCCTGCCATGATAAGGAGAAGCTGAGCCTAAGGATGTAGAAAGTCACCTCCTCACAAATGAATGGTGTAAGAGCCGAGCAGCTGTTGGGCGATTATTTGGATTGACTTGTAGGCATTGCAGGATAAAATCTCTTGCATCTTTTGACACAGAGTCAGGAACAATTGGTGGTTCACCCCGCCCAATTTTATACAATGCCTGCATCTGTTTGAGTTACAAAAGAAAAAATATGTTGCCAAACAGGAAATGGCACTGCAAAGTTGTAGTTACAAACTTGCAACAATGGGAAGAATAAAATACTATTTTCAGGTTATGGAGGGGTCTGGCAACCTACACTCGACACACTAGCAAATAGGTGTTTAATTGAACCAATACAAGCCAATACAATGCTGAGCTCAGTCTTGACTCTATTAACCTTATACAAGCTTGAGCATGCTTCTCATGTCTAAGCTTGAGCTTGGCTTGATTAACATTACATAGACTAAAGGTTAACTAATAAACATTAGGTTAAAACCCCATTTTGGTCCCTCAACTATTGTACGGACCCCCGATTTGGTCCTTGAACTAAAAAAATCCCTGATTTGGTCCCTATTGTTTACCATTTTGACCTCGATTTGGTCCTTCCGTTAAAAACTGGCTTACGTGTCCCATTACTTGACGGATAAAGATGACAGCATGGCAAAAAACAATGACATGGCAAAAAAAAACAATGACATGGCAAAAAAACCTTAAAATATTTCCTTTTCCCTTTTTTTTTTTCTTCCTTTGATTTTCCTTTTTTCCCTTTCGTCTTCTTCCTTTCCTTTCGCCTTCTGCAAACCCTAACAGCTTCTAACATTAAACCAAAAAATAATCCCCAGACCATCACCGCCCTAAATTCTTTCTTTCAACCTCTCCAAAAAAACTCAGAAATATCTAGGCATATTTTTCCAAAATTCAAGCTTCTAAACATAAATATTTAAAAAAAAAAGAAGAAATCGAACCTAGAAAATCACTAGGTTCTTGAGAACCCAACAGATCATTGGGTTCTTGATCGAACCCAGTGATTTGCTGGGTTCTCAAGAACCCAGCAGATGTTCTATAATTACAAGCAATGGGCAAATTTTTTCCCTCAACCAATTTTTGCCAAATTCTCAATGAGAATAGCCCACACAAACAAAATATTCATTAGCAAAACAATCAACTGCAACCCAAAAATATCCCTAAAATTCAAGCTTCTAAACATAAATATTTAAAAAAAAAAAATCAAACCTAGCAAATCGCTAGGTTCTCGAGAACCCAGCAGATCGCTGGAAATCGAACCTAACAGATCGAAGAACCTAGAGGATCTGCTGGGTTCGATTACGATTAATCGAACCCAACGATCTGCTGGGTTGTCAAGAACCCAGTGGATCGCTAGGTTGTCAAGAACCCAGCGGATCGCTAGGTTGTCAAGAACCCAGCGGATCTGCTGGGTTCGATTAATCGAAATCGAACCCAACGATCTGCTGGGTTCTCGACAACCCAGCAGATCTGCTGGGTTTCGAAGAAGAGATGGTAAATGATGAAAGGAAAGAGATGATGAGGAGATAAGGAAAGGAGAACATTAAAACCCAAGCCAGCAAACAAGGATCCAAGGGAAGAAGATGAACAGCGAAAGAGGTTGGAGATGAAAAGTAACGGGGAAGTAAGGGGCAACGAAAGGAGGAAGGAAAGAAAGTGGTGTGGTTGAAGAAAGGGTAAAAATGTAATTTTATCTTTATAATTTAACATTTAATAATTTTATTTTTATAATTTATTTCATTATCAATCCTATGTGGCAAGGTATTTAAATTGTCACCTTTTTTTTCCGTCAAGTAACGATCCACATAAGTCGGTTTTTAACGGAAGGACCAAACTGAGGTCAAAATGGTAAACAGTAGGGACCAAATCAGAGATTTTTTTAGTTTAGGGACCAAATCGAGGGTCCATACAATAGTTAAGGGACCAAAATGGGATTTTAACCTAAACATTAATTACTTTATATTAATTATTTTTTCAGGCAATCTCTCTTCTAGTTTTATATTCTTTTTCTTTTCGCCTTTTCCTGGTTTTTTTTATTTACAAATGAATGGTCTAAGAGCTGAGCAGCTGTTGGGCGATCATTTGGATTGACTTGTAGGCATTGCA